GGTAGTATTCCCCGTGTGGCCTGGGTAGAATTATTTTATTTAAGAATTTCTATGATTCCCTAGTTGAAGTCACTTTTGTTGAGGACTTACATCAGAAGGCCCCACTTCCCAGCAAGGTTCTCTTTATCATTGGAAAGAAATGTTGGATCTTTTCCCCAGGGGATTCGGAGTTGGATCGGAGTTCAAAATTTTCTATGAACTGCAATTTATTTTTGCAGTATTATCCCCAGTAAAGGAATTCTCTCACCCGAGTATTACTCTTTCTCAGTGCAGTCCGTTTCTTTCTAGGTTTTCTCAAAAGAAATGTTTTAATTCACTAACTGGAGATTCTTGATATACTCCCCTTGAAGTCAACATTCTACGGCTTCCTCAGTGAGGTTTGCACTTGTTCTCCCCATGAAGTATGTATTCTCCTACTCAATGAAGGATGCACCCCCTCTCTCTCCAATGCGGCATGCTATATCAGAGTTCTTGAAGAGGCTTATGTTTGCCTACGGAAGATTCTAGTTTGTTATCCTCATGAGGACGACCATCATCCGCAATGAAATGATTTATGCTCCCAGTACAAAACTTTTTGTCAGCTTGAATCTTACAGAGATGACTATACCTAGTGCAACGAATATTGTTGATATTATCATCTAAAGGCCTTGTCCTCCCAGTGTATGAGGTAGCCTTTGTCCCCAGTCGAAGCCAAATTTTGAGGACCTGCCAGAGTAACTGGTCTCTTACTCCCCAGTGGAGTAAGCTATTATTTCCCTAGTGGAGAAAGTGTCTTATCTCCCCAGTGTGATGTGCATAGGAGTGCCAGTCATAACTCTTTCATCCCCGGTGACAAATTTTTTTTTTTGAGATATCACCAATGGAGTTTTTATCCCAAGATACTGGTTTCTTCCCCAAGTGAAGATTTTGTACCCAGGCGGTGTTATCCCCAGTGTGGTCTGAGTAGAATTCTTTTTATTTAAGAATTTCTATACTCCCCAATAGAAGTTATCTTCGTCAAGAAATCTTATGACATAAGCTTCCATCCTTAGCAAAGCTCTCCTCTTTCTAAGAGAAGATAAATAATTTATTCCCCCAGGAAGTTGGGAGCCTGATCAGAATTCAAGATTTTCTATGAACTGCAATTTACTTTTGCAAGTATTACTCCCAGGAAGTTATTTCTTCAATGTTATCAATCGTTCGAGGTTGATGGTTTCGAATCTCGGTTCCCCATTGAAGTTCATATTGCATGTTCTCTAGAGAAGATCAGATGCGCAAGAATAATTATTCGGAGGTTCATTGTCTTCCTAGCATTCGATTATTGATGTAATTTCCCCAGTGCATTACTAAACATGCATCATTACATTGCATCATTACACCGCATCTACTAAAAAGTGTAGCATTTCCATTGTATGGAGCAGTATGCTATAAAAAATTCAAACATGCATGAGTATAAGCCAATTATGTCCACCTGTGGTAACCAGATTGTTATACGCTCAGATTTGATTTATCTCCATAACCAGCCTAGGGTGACTCTATTATGTTTCCCCAACGGAGTTTGTTTTGATTCACCACCAGTCGGGTCTTTGGAATTTTTCCATTTCCCTAGTAAGTTTGTGGTTTGCGCTTGCCCTTACAAGCCTTTGGTTATTTTACCCGTGTTTGCTTTACCATTACAGTGCGAGTAAGATTCAGTGTATAGCCTTTCCTGCTTCTCAAGGTTTGAGTATCCACACTTGGTGTGTGGTAATTCAGATAATTTCCATTCTTGAAGAATTACACCCCGCCTTTGGCCTGAAGGATTCTGTAGTTCTTGCATATTTGCAAACTTTTAAAGCCCAACGCGTGTTGGCAATCCTTGTTTAGAGCCTCTACAATTGGTCTCTTTTTTCTAATCACAAGTCCGCCTTCGACCGGCGTTCTGTCTAGGTTCATTACATATGGGAATCCCCAGTAAGTTTGTGGTTTGCGCTTGCCCTTGCAAGCCTTTGGTTATTTTACCCATGTTTGCTTTTCCGTTAGAGTGCGAGTGAGAGTCGGTGTATAACCTTTCTCGCTTCTCAAGTATTTGAGTATCCATACTTGGTGTGTGGTAATTCAGATAATTGCCACTCTTGAAGAATTACACCCCGCCTTTGGCCTGAGGGATTTTGTAGTTCTTGCGTATTTTGTAACCTATCGAAAGCCCAACGTGTTTTGGAAATCTTTGTTAGAGTCTTCTTTGACCAGTCTCTTTCTCTTGTAGAGTTCACCTTCGATCGGTGCTCTTTGAAGGTCCTTCTTGGTCGGTTCCTTGTTTTGGTTTATCCATGTTAGTCGGGTCCTCCTTTCGTCAACTTAGCTAACCTTTTATGTTAAGAGTCCTTCAGTGTCTCTTCAAAGTCCGGTTGTCTGGCGTCCTTGTTTAGGAAAATGCGTCCTTCCTTGTTGGGGCTTTCTTCGGTTAGTCTCGTTCTTGTGTTCACTATCAACTCTGAACATTTGTTTCTTGATGCTCAATTTCGCTCCTGTGTGTCTAACTCTGACCAGATATGCATATCTTTATCCCTTGTGAGTCCGCCTTTGATTGGCATTCTTTTCTTTAAATCTACCTTCAGCTGGTATCTTTTGTTGAGAGTCACCTTCAGTTGGTCTCTTTTCAGTTGAAATTTCGCCTTTGACCGGCGTTCTTTCCTTAGGAATCTACCTCCGGCATAGTATTCCTTGTTAAAGATTCCCCTTCGGCTGGTTTCTTTACCCTTAAAATCCATCTTCGGCTGGTATCAGTTGTTAAGAGTCCCCTTCGGCCGATCTCTTTTCATTTTCAAGTTCGCCTTTGATTGGTGTTCTTTTCTTTAAATCCACCTTCGGCTAGTATCTTTTGTTGAGAGTCACCTTTGGTTGGTCTCTTTTCAGTTGAAAGTTCACCTTTGATCGACGTTCTTTCTTTAGGAATCTACCTCCGGCATAGTATTCCTTGTTAAAGATTCCCCTTCAGTTGGTTTCTTTACCCTTAAAATCCACCTTCGACTGGTATCAATTGTTGAGAGTCCCCTTCGGCCGATCTCTTTTCATTTGCAAGTTCGCCTTTGATTGGCGGTCTTTTCTTAGGAATCTACCTTCGGTATAGTATTCCTTGATGAAGATTCCACTTCGGTTGGTTTCTTTATCCTGAAGTCCACTTTCGGCTGGCGCCCATAAAATCCACCTTCGACTAATATCTCTTGTTAAGAGTCCCCTTCAGCTGGTCTCTTTTCGGTTGAAAGTTCGCCTTTGACCGGCGTTCTTTTCATTGTTAAAGATTCCTCTTCGGCTGGTTTATTTACCCTTAAAATCCACCTTCGGATGGTATCATTTGTCAGGAGTCCCATTCGTTTGGTCTCTTTTATTTGTAAGTTTGCCTTCGATTGGTGTTCTATTCAGAGTTAATGTCTATTTGTGCCCTCAGTAAGTTCGCCTTCGATTGGCATTCCTTCGTTAGAGCCTTCTTCAGTCGATTTCTCTCTTGTGTATATCTAACCTTGACCTGACATCCAAGAGATTTACTCATATGACTACTGCAATCCAAAAACAAAAAAATTCAAAATTCAAAAAACCAAAAACATAATAATACCTGACTGGCTTCGGAGCGTAAATTTTCGGGTTCTTTTAAGTATTTAATCTTCCTCCACCTTGAAGGTTCGAAAGGCCGGCGCCAGTTTCACCTTCCGGTTTAAGACGATTAAATAGGGGCAGCTGTTGCACCCCAAAATTTGCCCTCCTAATTCCTTTCATTTGGGCTTAGGCTTTTGCATTCATCTGCATATGTTCCATTAGGTCACTAACATGGAATACATTTCATTCAATATAGATTTGTGGTTCAAAGTTTAGGGGTTGTGCGATGTTGGGGTTTCGTAATGGTTAAGGCATTCGTATCCAATAAAGGAGGATTTCTTATTCAAGCAGTGAACAGTGGGATTAGTGTTGTGATCTGGGTCATTGAGAATTTCTTTCTTCATCAAGTTACGAGGATATCAGGGTTCATCTTTTTATGTGATCAAAGCCAGGTTTTTGGTAGTTATGCTCCATTCGAGTTTTTCTTCAAAGATCATGAGATTAGGGTTTGTTTTTCATCAAGGGACTTTCTCAGAGAGCCTTATTTTGTGCGTCAGGAATCATCTTCTTCAACGGAATTTATTAAGGATTTTAGCCTTATGTTTTCAAGTAGACATGTTTGTGACTTGAATTACAAAAGCTGAAGCACAACACACGATATGATGCGAGGGAGCATTGAGTGAGTTAGAACAATATGAATAAAGGCTTTGATTTTGGGAAAAGGAAATATGGGGAAGTTGTTTTCTTGACCAAGTTCATGCATGAATATTGTTGATTCGGTTGAATGCTATGTCATATCTTAAGTACAAGACTTATTCATCTAATATGCAAGTTGGTTGGAATTCATTCATTGAGTCTTGAAGTGAAGTGTTCAGAGGATAATCAAGTGGAATCAAAATTTTGGTTTGTTTTCAATAATTTGATTCATATAAGTTTGGAAACCTTATTCATAAGTGTTTCTTAGAATTGTAAGTTACAAGTGTAAATTGCTAAGTTCACAAGACAAATGTCATTCATCATCGTTTCGTAAAGGATATAATTGTTCAAATTCAAGATTTCCTAACCCTACAACATTCACCAGTCAAAGTTTGAATCGTCACCATTCATTCATTTACAGATGTTTGAACATTGTTAATTCAAAAAAACAAAAACAAAAGTTTATCGGCTTTTCTTTCGGGAATCTTCTGGATTCTTCTTAAGCATAATTCAACTGAATTGAGTTGTGATGCTAAAGATGTAATTAAGCATAATGCTACTATTCAGGTATCGTTCATATTGGAAAAATTAGTTTCACAACTTATTCCATACATTGAAAGATTACAAGATGATATATTTAGTGAAATAGGTCTGCCAAAATACAAAGGTGGTTATCCTATCCATACACCAAAGTGTGGCACCTAGCTTGTCTGATGTGATATTCGTTATTCTTTATGATCCAATAATCCGGTTTACTCGAGTACCCTGAGATCATCATTGATTGAACTGTTTCTCCAGCAACCCAATATGACTTTCATAACATCAGTATTTGGAAACGCATATTCGTCTGAGATCTTGAAGACTCTTGGTGGGTTGACCGTAAAACCAGTGAAGTCTGCTTCTATTTGGCAGATATCTGATATTCTGTTAACTCTAATCTTAACGATTCAATATCTGAAGTCATGGATAAGATTGATGACTTCGAGGAAGAAATTCATAAAGTCAGGAAATAATTAGAGTTTTACAACCGAAACCCAGCCATGCGTTAAAAATCAGAAAGCAAATTCAAGAAACCGCGAAAACAAAAAAAATCAGGAAATAATGAAAACAACACTCTAGCCCAACAACAAAACGGAGGAAGCAAACAGAAGACCAACCCGGTTATCAGGAAGTAAAAAAAGAAACAGTGTGGTTAGAATAACAGAAATTTCCAGCTCATAGACATCTCTAACCAATTCCTAACTAACTACCACTTCCAATCTCATCCATCAAAATCCCTAACTAACATTCACATTAACGGTCCAGATGGATTCAACCCTAACTAACTTCCTAACCATAACAGAATTATAAGAGAAAAAATCACCTTTGATAGATCGGCGGGATTCATTATGCAGAATCGGGAAAACCAGAAAAACTCTTTATTCTCCTCTCTTCTTCCATCTAACCTTTTTCCACCATCTTCTCCAACCTTTTTCCACCATCTTCTCGTATCATCATCAATCTTCAATATTCTGTAGAATCAAAACACAAGAAAAATATCTCCCAATCTTCAGTCTTTATCACCTTCATAATTCTTCAACCTCTCTCAAGCTTCTGCAACAAAGGCTACCATCAACATCTTTGACACTTCATCACCTGCATCAGATCACAATCTTCAATCTTCACCTCCTCATATGCAGCAATCATCATCGGCATTGATTCGTGAATATCATCGATCTTCAGCATTGAATGACCTGTAACAACAACCTCACGAGTCTTTCAGAGCAAGAACGACACACTCTTAGAATAGGAATAATGGCGCAAATAACAATCGGAAGCGGAGTGTACTCGTACAGAGGCATAGCAAAATCTTAAAAGACGAAAAAGTCTAGAAGAAAAAGATAGGGAACGAAAATTCTGAAGAAGTGTACCTGAGGGGAGGAGATATCTCTGGATTTCGGATCTTCTTCATCGCATTCGAAGATAAATTATAACGTCTCTGATTGGTAAGCTTCATAACTTAATTCTCCCATTTTCTTCAAATTCTTGCTACATCGTAGATATGAACGAAAAGTAGAACCAAAGCCCCTTACTGATGGTGTGACCTAACATTCGATTGTAACCGGATGTGCATCTTCATACATTAGATTTATTTCCATAAGGTAAATTTAGTTTGGTAATTTTATGGATAATGAAGAGACGGAGCTCAGATTTGAGATGAACACGAAGAAAGAGGAAGCTCTGCCGCCTTTGATGCGGCGGAGAAATTTTCCGTCAGTGCGTGAGCTTTGGGAGAGGCGGATCGTGTCTAAAGAAGGCAAAATGAAAAGAAGATACTAGATGAACAATCACAAATGGGACTTGGAGTTGGGACTTGGCTGATTTGTTTGGGCCTCTATGGCATGGACTTGATTTCAATTCACACCCTTAGGCCCGTTTCAACTTGTTTGGAACTGGATATAATGAACAAAAAGGGATTCTGGACTGTTCAAGCTTAGGCTCGTTGATTTTTTTGGAAGCATATGGCCTTGCACAAAAATGTTGATCCTGGGATAAAACAAAGAGATTATGGACCTGGGCTTAGTATCTGACCAGTTTACTGCACCATACTCCTGAACTCAGCAATACACCCCTGACTCTTATTGTTATTACTTAGTTTTTTTAGTTTAATTTTCATTTTCTCAATTTTTAATAATAGATAATAAAAACAATAAGAGAATAAACTTTTTTAGGAATATATTTAGAGTAGAACCCAACTTCTTATTTTTTAGTTTTCTTATATGAAAAAAAAAAAAAGAATAATAGAGTTTAATAGAATTTTTGCTAGATTCTCTTTGTAGAATTTTGTTTAGAATTTTCTATTATCGATTGTGTTAGTAATCATTTTGTTACTTGAGACTTGCGATTCACCTATGCTTGTTGAGATTTGAGTCTTACGCAGGTTTATTGTGCGATATGCGGATGCACTTAAGATTTCGATTGTGATTTATTTTCACATTGATGATGCTTCGATACTTATTCCGAGCATTCGATTTCCGACTCTTTTTTTTATTGGTGAAGCTTTCGTGAAGATCGTCGGGTTTCTTTGTTTTGATAGGCTTTGCTACGGATTGATATCCGTTTGGTATTTTATCTTGTTTATCTTATTTTTCACTTTACTTCTTTCTAGATATCATGAGAAATAGGAAATAAAGAGCGTGCGCTCGAAGTCTTTGTTTAATAACCTGTAGCAGGCATTCCACACTTCATTTGCTATATGTGTTGTGCTTGTGTTTGTTTCCTTAGTTATTGATCGATGAGTCACTCAATTTAGGAATTGAGATCAAGACTTCGCTCTCAGTGCATGCTCCCTATAGGATTTCATTGTTTTCCTTTATTTCTTGTTGATCGATGAGTCACTCAATTTAGAAATTGAGATCACGACTTCGCTCTCATTGAATTTTCCCTATAGGATAGTTTTGTTAGACTTTTTTAGGTAACCGTAGCCTAGATAGGATCTCTCTAGATGTGCTCTCTGGAGTTTATTGGCTCGCCTGTTTGATTTCATCTTTGTGTACATGTTTTGAGATGACGTACCTTCGGCATGTTCCCTTAGGAGCTCTCGGTTCAACTATATATGATGATACAAGATAGACATAGTTTTAAGTGATAGACCTTTGCTATTCTCATTTAGGACTTCTTGATTCATCCATATATGATGATTTGAGATAGACATTAGGATTGTTATCCAAGCATGTCAACATAGAGTAGAGATTTCCCTTCAAAGCTCAACCTTAGTATTAATCTTTGTATGATAACATTAGGGATAAATCTAGGTTAGCCTCCCTTAGATGTTTTCTTTTCCTTTGCATCCTTGCATTTAAAACAAAAACTTTCTTTTTCTTAGAAAATTCATAAAAAATCTAACAATTTTCAAGTCCTTTTTTAAGGTAAAAAAATATCAACCAATGCAAACTCTTTTTGCGCCTTCGGGCTTTTAATTCAAACCTTTTTCAAAAGAACATATTAATTCACTTCTGTGCTAACGCGTATGTGGTGCGGTGGGAGAACTGACTTGGGATTTTGCGTTTGTGTTTGAAATGTTTCGGTTTAGCAAGAGTCGCCACCGACTTTTTATTTTATCCCAAGGAATGGTCAAAAAGCACAGGAAAGACCTTTGAGATGTTTTCTTGGGTTCGGGGAGTAGATTATGAAAAGGGAAGGTGCAAGAACCCTTTTCATCCATGGTTATCCATGGGCTCTTAGTTACTTGTTTAGATCACTTGCTTTGCTTTTCAATTGTTTGAAATGGTGTTTTTCAATTGTTTGAAATGGTGCTTTGTGTGTGGTTTTGAAAGATGTTTTGAAAAGAGGCCATCGTTGTGGCAACCTTTGTAATGATTCTTGTTTGAATGTATACAAAGGTGTTTTTGTCTTTTGAAAAGATTTCAATGTTTGAAAGTTTGTTTTGGGAAATGTTTTGAAATTGTGTTGTGAAGTGTGTTTGAAAATAGCAAGGATGTTTTTGCAAGCTTTTGATCAAGTAACTAAGAGTTATCTACCCTATTTTACTCAAATATCCTTTCCTAATGTTTTAACCCTTTTGACAGTGTTGTTTCACCATTGCATTTGGTGAACAACCTTGTGTTAGGATGTTTAAACGGGACAGGCGCGTGTCATCGTATAGAATCATTGAAAGCAACTTGTGAGACGCTCTAGCAATTTTGTAAGGGACGAGATCGTTTTATCGAAGGAAACATCGAGGGTCATCGAGGGACTACGATCTTTGTTTATCAAAGGGGCGTTTGCTAGAGTGTCTCATATTCGAGGGACATGATTGCATTTTCCGAGGCAACAAGCGAGGTCACCCTAGAGGTGCAAGTGTGTATGGTGTTTGTCATTTTCATGCATTTGTCTTGTATTAGGTCATCTAGCGATTGATTTTAGATTTTCGCCATACACGTCTAATTACTATACAGTATATTTGAAAGCAATAAATTGCGGGAATTAAAAGTCTAAGTTATTACAAAAAAAGTATCCGGGGATGGGGGTACAATTATTTACAAATGGGGATGAGTCTCATAAGAATAATAATGTCCAAATATGTGTTACAACCAAATCGAACTGTCGCAATTTAATGTAAAAATTATAACAAATTATAAAATAAGGAAAATCAAAGAATTATGAGATGCATGTATTTATTTACAAATAAAATATCTATTCTAAAAGAAAGAAAGATTAAAAATTATATTATTATTTGCATGGGTTTCATTAATTATGAAAAGAAAAAGTTTTAAAAGAAAAATTTACTTTAAACTAAATCCCTATTATTTATGTATTTTTATTAATCAATAACTAGGTTTAAAAAAAACCAAAAATTATTTAAATTAAACTAAATATTCTTTTTTTGTATTTTTATTATATGTAACAATTATTAAAAAAGAAAACTATATTGAGAAAAATCAAAAATAAAACTTAATCTATTATTTGTTTTTATTATTAACAATGTAAAACAAATTAATCTAAAATGAAATAATAAATAAAAAAGAGTTAGTATTTGTTAAATAAAAAAAATGAAATGAAATTAAAACAAAAAAAGATGGGCCAAGGATTTGCAAAGTGTGTTAAAGCCCAAAAGAAAGAATAAAAAGGAGGGGGGTGCAGGCAGAAGCAAATATGGGCTTAAGGGCAATTATTTGGGGCGAAGGCCCAATGTTTGTATAATGTTTTAGGGGTTTGATTAGTTAGGGTTTACAAGTTTGGTACACAGCGGCGCCACTTTGTTCTTCTTCTCCTCTCTTCATCTTTCTTAAGCGAAGGTTTCTGATCCTTTCTCCATGAGCCCTAGGTCGCCGGAGCGCCGCCCTCTCTCACTCTCTTCCTTCTCACAGTGGCCAATGGTTTTTGTTTGAACGGTATGAAATGTTATCTTTTTCTTTCGCGTTATTTTATAGTTTTGTTCATTGATGTTTTATTCTTGCTTGCATGTTTTAATCCCTGGCTTTTATGTGTTTGATATGCAGTAAAAGGTTTGAAGAAAAAAAAACGTACCTTGGGAAAGATTTGTTTCTGTAAAAAATGGAGGGAGAGAGAAGGGAGTTGGTGGTGGCGTTCCTGGTGGCCGGAGCGGAGGAAGATGAGATGAACACGCTTGTGGTATTTTTTTGTTGTTCTTTTGATTTGAATGTTGTTTGATGATGATGATTTTCTGAGAACTGTTTGTTCTTTGTTGTTGATGAACTTGGTTTCTGAAACTTGTTTTGAAACTATCATTGATGTTGATGATGATCTTGATTCTGAAACTAAGTTGGCTTCGCTTCTGAAAACTCTTCCTTTCTCTTTGTATGTTAATGATGAGCACCACTCTGAAACTGTTGTTTTTCTGGTTGACAAGGGTTCTGAAATTTGTTGTGGAAGTTTTTGAAACTCTGTTGTTTTTGAATATACTGTTTGATGATGAAATGTTCTGAAAACTTGTGCTTTTTTGCTTCCAACACTCTTTCCTCCCTCTCCGATATAGACTGTTGATGGTATGATGATGATGTGATTCTGAGAACTTGTTATTTGTTGATTGTTGAGGATGATGTGATTCTGAAACTTTTGTTTTTGATTTGCTTCTGAACCTCTTCCTCTTTCTTGGCTTGTTAATGATGAGAAACCTCTGAAAACTGTTTTTTGCTTCTGAAATGCTCTTCCTCTTTCTTGGCTTGTTAATGATGATTTGATTCTGAAACTACTGTGTTTTGTTGATATTGTCTTCCTCTTTC